AGGTTTGTTGGAATTCGGAAAGAAAGATTCATTTTCATAATTATCTGGTGCAGCAGTTTGAAGTGGCTTGTGTGTAACAGGCATTGAAAAAATATTATCTGACAATGAGATTGCTGTAACCGATCTTACTCGCTGAGACGGATTGGACTGTAGGTACTTCCAATCAAGGCAGTGGTGTCGGCAATACAAGGAACTAAAAGTGAGGCTCAAGGAGCTCCAGTCACATTTAGAGTTGTGTAATTTTAGCCATGGCAGGCCAAGAATTATGGGATTACATCTACTTAGGTTAGTAACAAAAAAAAGAATAATCTCCGAGTGTTGCTCAATATGCAAACAGAATGTAAAGTAGTGGGTTATAGAGGCTTTTGTAGAGCCATTGGCCAAGCAAACAGATCGTGGAGTATAGAGGGGCTTTGTTTCTATTCCAAAACAATTAACAATAGAATCTTTGTCAGAAAATGTCATAGCAGTGCAGCCACTATCAATCAAGCATGCTGTGGAAAACATAACTGAATTATTTGTGTGCGGGTTAGAGAGAGAAGAGCAAAGAAGCATTGAATTTGAGGAATCAGTTGAGCATAATTCCAAAGTATAATTATCCATCAATGTATCTTGGATAGCCTTGTCTTCATCTCCATACCAATTGTACCCCTGGCAGCGACTTAAGCTAGGGATTGGTCTTTTAACTGTTCACAATTTCTATAAGCTTGTTTTACACCTCCCGAATTCTGAGATTGACAGTGTTCTTCAAAGCCGTGGTTTCCATTTAACACTTTCAGACGAGATTGAACCGGAGCGTCGGGGTATAAAAGCTGTGAGTTTGAGAATTGGTATGGTGACTGATGATGGTATTTGGGAAGAAATTGAGGCGGAGGATAATACATCATCGGAATCGGCAAGGGCTGAATTTCTGGTGTTAAATATTTAGTGGTGGGTAGATAATGAGTATTAAAAGTAGGGAATTGTTTATATTCATTTCTCTCATGATATGTATATTGATTAGTAGAACGTTTTGGCATTGGCACTGGGTCAATTTTGCGATGATGATCTTTGGCCATATGTCCAGTTTGACCATAGGCAAGACATAAGCCGTTTTCCATTCGAAATTTACGCTCAGCACTTCATATTGAAATGCGGCTGAGGTCCATTGAATCTTCAGAATCGAATGGTCCAGCATGAGGTAACAAATCGTCTATTGGATGGTAATTCTGTTGCATTGAGTCAGATGAAAATTGCAACATGAGTATGTGCTCCTGTTGTTTAATATTGCGAGCAATATTAATGATCATATCACTCCACCCAGTATAATTGTCTGAATCAGGAAGATTTATTTGGTTGTTAGTAACGCCAGTAATCTTTCAATTAAGTTGTTTTCTAAGGAGGTCCACTTTAATTCGGTCATTGTACTTTGCCCTTTCTAAATAATGATCAAAGTCAGCCTTAAAATCTCCATAAGCACGTTTGTCTTGGTAAAGTGTGTCTAAGGCATTCTTTGCCATCTGGGTAGTATCAAGCAGAATGTATCTCCTATCAAGGACTTGCCATAAGTCTGTTTGCGTTCTCCAATACCACTTCTCTGAATCACTTGGGTATGAATTCATTTTCTGAACACCGTCTTTAATAGCTTCCCATGCTTTCCCAGAGAGTTGACTAGTTATATATGATATAAAATTGAAATTTCCAGGAAAGCAACTACCATCCACAATCAACACTTGTTGGACCTGTATTTTCCAACTCTCATATAGAGTTTGTCGTTTTTCAGTACTCATTTGTGCAGCAGAAAATTTTTCTGGATCGGATCTAGTCCGGCGCAATATTGTGTCTGTAGAATCAATGTTCGAGGGTTTCATGCTGCGAATGGCATCAACCTGTAGTTTATTTATTTCAGACTGTAAGCTTGAAATTTTAACATTTAAATTTGACATCTTGTTGTTGTCTAAAGAGCATGCTAAATTTTAAATTAGATATAGTTGAATTTAAGGAGATAATTTCAGTCATATGTGTATTTTTGATTTCACCAAATTTTGAATCAAAACACTGAAGCAAACTACAAAATAAAATTGTTTCGGATGTGTTAGTGGTTGAATCAATCGAGCTCAGCAGAGAAGCTGGATTCGAACCATTCGGGAACTGAAGCCCTTCAATTGCTGCGCTCAAGTTCGGCCAGCTCTTCTGAAAAGTAATGATAATTTCAGTGGCTTTGGGGTTGGATTCCATATTTGTAACTGTCTGGATTACTCTGATTGGTCCGAAGTGCAGGCCTTCACGCACGGGTATTGATCGCACTAGGGCCTTGGCACCTACATAGGATAACTCTCTGTAGATAGCTTAGATGGAGAAAAAAGAACAAAGTGACCAACCATTATCTATCTGCTAGCAGATTCAGTCTGTGCTAACAGTAACAATTACATTTTTTTATTTATTTATTGAGAACCTCTATGGGATGGTAGCTGAGATTTACTTCAGGTCTTGTGTCAGGTAGCAGGCAGAAGTCAGAATAAGGTAGTTAATTTTTCTATTATGTCGGGATCCAAATGCGACGGGACACAATTGAGAGCGCACAAAATTTCACGGTGGCTCACGGGTCAGGTACTAGAGGAAAGAGAATATAACTGTGTTGTGCGATAGTAAGAGGAAAGAAGACTTAATACAAGAGATATCTATACATATGTTCTAGCCTATGACGTTAGCCCTTAGTCCCGTGACAGTTAGTCTTGTTGACTCAAACTTCTGGCACATAGCAAATCCGATTTTTCCAAGTACTCTTTCCTGTTACTTGAAATCGTAGTCATTTCGAAGATACCTTCGGCCAACGGTAACTTTACCTTGAAATGCGCGGTGGTCACAATCACTGCCTTTTGTGACGGCTTGTGAGCCGTCAAGGCCTGTGGCTTTCGATGGCTATCGAAGACAACCTATATTCTCTATCACTCGGAGGATTATCAGCTGACGAAAACTGATACGAGATCGCCACTGAGGCTATGTAAAGGATAGTGCCAAGAGTATCGGAAGCTTTACCCGTGTGGCAGAACAAACCTTAAGTCAGTTTCATTGCCACTGCAAGCGTAGGCTAGATTTAGATACCTCTGGATTTGTATAAGTAGTAGAGTAGACTTGCAGGTAGTTTGCTTCTACATAGATGAATTATTGCTTTACTTTTCAATCATACAAATGCCCATTCGCTTTCTATATTCGAATTGTGACACCTTTTGGCTCATCAGTCATTCCATATTTATGCGAGGAATTTTCATCGTTTACCGTTTGAAAGCTGGACACAGATTAAATCATATTGAAAGATGAGATGACAAAATGTAAGAATATCTATCGAAGATAGTGATCAACCGAAATTACTGGACCTCTTTTTTTTTGCATCAGATTTTAATTGCGTATGCAGCTATCTAGCTATGACACAATATCAGAGAAAAGTACAGAAAAGATGACTCAATTTACAAGAGGAGCACTCATGCCTCGGATTTCATTTGCAAGTACCACTGAGAAGTTATGGTGGTAAATCACTGGACCAATAGCGGAGCTAGGGATCCAAGTTGCGGCAGATCCAGCTTCCTTCAGTACATCTAATTTACCAAGCACAATTTAATTAGACTTCAAGAAGTAATTGAGATTCCAGTGATAACGAGTCACATTAATGTATAGAACCAAATAGCTATCCATTTCTACCCACTCAGACATCTCGCCAGATCCTTACCATAACTGCAACGCGTAGACTATTTTGAAACGAAAGTAGAGCTACTACGATACCTTATTAGAGAGTATTTTGCGAGGGTAACTCCTTCGTTAGCAATGTGAGTGCGACATTTTAGTCAACTTATCGGTATCCGAGGAAATAGCGCCTACTCCATTCTGCGAGAATTCTGACACCAGAAGGCGTGAAATTTGCGAAATAAACCATGATTCGCCCTAATTGTAAACAGTATTGGAAACCGTGCAAGTTATTAGGCTTTGGTGTAATGATGGGCATCATTTGGACAGGCTAGAGAGCTAATCACAGGCGTAGATTGGTCTCGATAAATCTCTTAGTTTCTTTTAGTCCGAGAATTCCCAGTCATTTTATTTCAAGTCTTTACCTGGGACAATGGCACGCTTTTCTCTGGGTATCTGTAACCAATGTTTGGGGAAAGTGCTCATAATATCTTCGTGATAGGTCTAATCTAACCATAAATCCTATGACTAGCTCTTATTATATTTAATCACAGGGAAGTTCTTGTTAGCGTGGAGATGCCACGGAGTTGCATTTTGCATCAACAGGGACCTTTTTTGGCCAGTTAGGAGGAGGTAGTAATCAATTTTGTAGGCTGGTAACTTTTGTATGCGAACTCTTCAAGCTTACACGGTCGATTCCTGTTCAGGCGAAAAGATTCAAACAATTTTGCACATCGCGGCTGTCGAGGTTTCTCCTTCAAAAGTCACAATGTGGATTGACTAGGTCATGGGCAGCTATTATCCACAACCCATTCTTTCTTTGGACATAACAGCCATCCTTCCCATTGGAAACGGGCCTTCCTTATGAATTTCAAGATTATGATCACCATTTTCACTCATTAAATTGTGCTAATGGATTAATGGTCAATGGGCCACAGGGCGACCTGATTCTAAATCGTCTTTGTCTGTTCTCGGACCAGTTCACGCAAACCTATCTCATTCTCTCAAATCTCCATGCACAGGAATTAAGCACTTCTTCACGTGGAAGCCTGGCTGCAGAAGATAAGTGGAACTTTGTAATTCAAGTTCTTGGATAGGTGAAGCAATTCCCAATGCCCATGGTTAAATTAACACAACTAATGCCTCATAATCACCACATTCCAAACTTTTATGATTGATATTGCCAAGCGGAACCTTGATTTATAAAGTATGAAGATTATCCATAATTCTAGTTCCTCGATAAATTCAATAATATTCTTACCTTTGTTTCTACCAGTCTCGACATTTTGGCATTTGAAGAAGTGAAATTACAGATAAGTACACAGATTCTCTCCCTGATAATGAAGCTCCCCATAATCAGCCGAGTTACAATGCTTTTCAGCATTTTAGCGCCTGTAAGTTCGATGTCGACTTATGCAATTCCCGAACCCGAACTAGTGCCCGGCGAAAATGAACCATTCAGCTTCTTGTGCCCAAATAATCGGTGGTTCGACAAGTCTTTTCTCGAGGAAATAGCCCTGATAGGCAAACAAGCTATAGAAAATGGAACTAAAGATCGTGGATTTCCCGCACGAGTATTTGCCCTTACTTACGACGTCGACGGAGATGTATGGTACTATCCTATCGATGGTAATGATAAAATCAATGAAATTTATATAAATTGCTAGTGGTCTAACAGCTGAATTTGCCAACAGAAAACCGAGGCGAATTTGTTGTATTCTTAAGAACCGGGCGAGTTGTGGGCGCAGGTTACTCAGCGGCTACTACTGATGACGAACGTTATTTGCACCCCTGTCAACTCCAAATGGTAATTACCTCCCTGTTCATCCTTCTGACGAAGATTGGCACGGCTAAAAATCCAAATCAGTGAGCAAAGCAGAACGAGCCTACACTCATTGTTGAAAATGATTTGCCGCGGGCCCATGCATAGCTCTTCAGCTCTTCACGTACCGACGTGACTAGTCCTCGTGAAAACTACCCAATGTCTCGGTGCCAAAACCGATTGAAAGCCGTAACATTACCTACCTTCGTTCCAGGCTGAGCTTGGTATGAAAGCTTAAACGATTAGGCGACTATTCAATCTCCCCTAGTCATGCGAATTGGGGAATTGAAGAGTGTGAAAGGGGTAGGGGAGAGTTATCGATGAAACCCTTTGATATTAGAGTAGATTCCAATCCAATTTTTAAAACTTCTCTGGGCCACGGCACGCAGCTTATTTTGAATGAGAAATTTTCCAATGTTAGGCAAACCATGAGCCTGACTAATGAAAGGACAAGCCTCATTACATTTCATATTAACGATGGCATTTAATGCCAAGTGGCACCAATTTCAACAGCATTCAATTATGTTGACCTTTTGGCAACCCTTATGATTACTGATGCACTAACCTGGAAGTGAAATGTTCTCCCAGAGCCAAGTTCAGTCAAATTTTGCAAAACAGAACAAGTTGGCCCACGAGGCAATGATTCAAAATACTCCACCATATCAATCTTTCACTCCGAACAAAATCAGTTCCTACCTAAGTCTCATCGAGTCTACAAGTACGACGTAATACATACTCATTCCAATGACCACACCTCTTGTCGACTTTCTCTGGCTTCAGCTGGTTGCCAGATACACGCCAACGCCGATATTTACACCCGACGGAGGAAACAAGGCGTGACGCACATATCTGGGAGACAGTTCTATGGGATTGGTGTGTGAAGATTCGGGAAAAGTTCAAAAGACGATGCAGTTGATGGATACAGTCTCGCCAGGTGTGAAATTTTGATTTTTGGCAAGGAGCTTTTACAGATTGAGCTTTGTGCGTGCCAAGTCTTTGGTTGCGAGAGTGCAGGTGACACTATAAACACTGCCATGGCTGGATGGCGCGGTGGTACATCGTCTTGGCCGGTCTGCCAAGTAGAGTCTGGATTGCTTGGACACATATCCCACTCGAGACAGTAGATCTGTCAAGGCGTGACGTAGGGTAGATCGAGATCGCCGTTTACCGAGGGTATGAAAAGGTCAAGTGGTGAAGACTATAGAGGTGGGAAGTCGACGAAGTACTATGGCTAGAAGGAAGCGGGTTTGCGAAAGGAATACTGTAATAATATTATAAGATTTTGAAGCTGGAGAACGACTTTGTTGTAGCTCCAGCTTCCTTAAGTACAAATAACTACCTAACATAATTCAACTAAGACTGTTGTAATTTCCCATCATAACTCAAAATGTGACCCCAACCATATCAATTCCAGTTGGCGTATTATCTAGTCTCACCATATAAGTGCAAGTATTGAGGGTGTGTTGTAATGTGTGGTCTATGGGGATCACAATAGATTAGAGTGGCAGTTGTGTTGGGTGATATTCAGTGCACGGACACCTCAATCTTGTACATAGGAAAATTCTTCTCCTCATTAGGACAATAGAGTCTTCAATACATAACAATCAGACCACGAGGTTATCACGTCATGCGCATAATGCTAAACAGGTGCTTCAGCCCATTGACCACCGTAAGCTCATAATCACAACAGAGTGAGCCAAAAAACCTGTTCCGTGAACTTTATCCTCAGGCATTCAGCCAAGACTCTGGTTCAAGAATGTCTCGCCATGACAAGACCGCTGGTTCAAATCCGGCAAAACACAACCACTTTTTCGCAGCGCTGGTATGCATGGATGATGAAGGCATGCTTGGATAATCAAAGGATTTTAAACGTCCCTATGATGGGTACTTACGGAGGAGGGTCGACACTTTGTGTAAGTAAGCATACCTCGTCGTGATATTTGCAAATGAAATCCAGAGTATGAGTGTCTCTAAGGTCAATTTTTATTATTATTATTATTATTATTATTATTATTATTATTATTATTATTATTATTATTATTATTATTATTATTATTATTATTATTATTATTATTATTATTATTATTATTATTATTATTATTATTATTATTATTATTATTATTATTATTATTATTATTATTATTATTATTATTATTATTATTATTATTATTATTATTATTATTATTATTATTATTATTATTTGATTTGTGTTCATTATCCTGATTTGGCGCCCTATGGGCCCATGCAGGTGGCTATAAACCTATCTATATATTTACATAGGAGGAAACCTCTCGGTGAAAACCCCCCAAGCTTTCTGATTTAATTCTTATAGTTTGCAGTTTATCCTTCAGGAAGTACAGTTACACTGTAACGCCGTCGATGTGTACCAATCACGTCCCTTCTATCAATGCCAACCTTCCACATGTTCCCTCTCGTTCCCTGAGCAGCATTTCGACTGCATTTGTCAAGCGGAATTGTTCTATCCAACCATGATTAAGAATCCATCGTGTGATTCTTGACATATCGCTAGGATTGTTGGTCATTGCTTCAAAGGAGCGATTTCGGGCTTGTCTCCAGATTTCTCCTCTACCAATTGACCACTTAGGGCAGGACATGATCATGTGCTTGGGATTTTGTGATTGGTAGCCACACGGACAGCATGGATTGTAGACTCCTGGTATTTTTCTTCTATGCAAATACGAATTGAGCCCGATATGCTCGCTTCGAATTTGGATTGCTAAGCTACTTTGGGCCCTCGTCAGGTTTTTGTGGAGAGAAAATGGCGACTCCCGGAAGCTTATTTTTGTACGTCCAGAATGGCGGCATTGGTAAAACTTTGCTGCTGCCCAAGTTTTAGGATCTGCTGAAGCAAATCTTTTAGGCTGTCGAGTTCGCTTTGTGGCTGACCAAGATTTCGCCCATTCTAGGTACGCTGCAACTCTTATTGCTTCTTTTTGTAAGTCCTTGGATTTCTCCTCTCCGCAAATCTCTTTCCAGTAGACAAGGTCTGCTCTTCTATTATGTGCTCTAATATCTTCTCTTCCTCTTCTGGGAAGTTTTATTTTAGCACATGCTGATTGAATAGTCTTTTGGACTGGTAGATGACTTGAGCGGCCTACATACTGAGCCCTTTGTTGCTTCAAGTAGATTTCCATCGGAAGAGTAGCAGATTCATGTTCCAGCACCCTGGTGCTTGTCGATTTGTATGCTCCAGTTACTACTTTTAGACAATTTCTTTGAGAGCTTCGAAGGGGTTTGACTATCCTCTCGGGTATTCTACCTCCTGGCCCGGCCTCAGCCCAGATTGGCGACCCATACGTAAGGGCTGGTCTCACTATTGCGCTATAAAGTAGCTTTGACTTGTGAAATGTGGCTCCCCACGTGGACTGCGTCAGCCTACTTATGGCCTGGACCTGTGTCTCTGCTTTCAGCTTTAGACTTTTGATGTGCGCCCCCCAGTTGAGCTTTGGATCAAAGTAGATTCCAAGGACGCGCAGGGAAGGCTGTGGCACTGTAGTGTGACTTTGGATCTGGACTGTTGCTTTAAGATCATGTCTCTTCCGAGCTCGTGAGAAATGCATTAGTTGATACTTCTCAGGCGCAAATCTGACTCCGTGCGTTTTTGCCCACTGCTCGCAGACCTTATGTTGCCTCTCGAGCTCTCGACAGTTTTCCTCCGTTGTATTGGACCAAGTTAGAATGTTGGTATCGTCAACAAATCCTACTGCTGATGTAGAGGAAGTGTTCAACATTGGAAGGAGTGTACTGACGAAAAATAGAAACAGTATAGGTGATAGAGAGGAGCCTTGCGGTATTCCTGTACTGGTAGAGATCTTCTTTCCTCGGAATGATCCCAGTACCATGGTGGTTGTTCTATCTTCGTATTATTATTATTATTATTATTATTATTATTATTATTATTATTATTATTATTATTATTATTATTATTATTATTATTATTATTATTATTATTATTATTATTATTATTATTATTATTATTATTATTATTATTATTATTATTATTATTATTATTATTATTATTATTATTATTATTATTATTATTATTATTATTATTATTATTATTATTATTATTATTATTATTATTATTATTATTATTATTATTATTATTATTATTATTATTATTATTATTATTATTATTATTATTATTATTATTATTATTATTATTATTATTATTATTATTATTATTATTATTATTATTATTATTATTATTATTATTTGAATTTGATTTCATTGTCCTGATTTGGCGCCTTAAGGCCCATGCAGGTGACTATAAACCTAAACTATTTATTTACATGAGGGGGAAACCATTACGATAAAAACCCCCTCCCCCTTTAAAATTTTATACCTGTAGTACTTCGTTACCTACAGTAAGTGCAAATGGCCATTAGTCCGAAACAGAACTAGCTAAAGTATACCTCGCCATCCTTTCCCTGCCCTCGCGTGCCGAAAAGTGATGGCTGTGGTCTTGATTTCGACCCCGATGGCGCAAATAGATGTTGTGATGGGGCTGGGACCTGAACTTGTTTTCGCGGGCGTCCCGGCCCTCTCTTGAAGCCTTCTGGCTTTTGGTTGGTCACTAGCGTGAACCCATGGTCGTCTGGTATGTTAGCAGTATTTGATTGAGGTAACTCCGTTAGTGTTTCGCTCTCCCTTCTTAGTTCGGCCGTTCTCTCCATGAGTCCATACCGTGCCCGCTGAACGTTGGCCTTGTATGCCGCGAAGCTTGGACACGCCCCCTTCTGCCACGATAAGTGGGCCTTGCCGCAGTTGCAGCAAAGTACCGACTTCTTCGGACAGTCCCTGGTCTGATGGGTGCCCGCGCACCCTCCACATTTCCTTGCCTTGTTGCAGGAAGCTTGGGTGTGCCCCCATTGGCTGCAGTTGAAGCACTGCTTGACTTGTGCCCGGGGTGACCAGAGCTGGGCCGTGTATAGCATTGAGTCCATTACAATGCCATTTCGAATCACTTCACGTTGTAGAGCCTCGGTCGGTAAGCTCGCAATAACTGACCCTCGAGTATGGCCATT